CTCAAGGAGCCTGAATTTCAACCAAAGTTAATGGACCCAAAAATGGAGCCTATCAAAAACACCAATGCAGATAACAACACAGAGGCTCAACAAACCATGGACGAACACTTGGAGAAAATAGTCCAAGATTTCAACGAATTCCGGGAGAAGATGTCTGGGAAAAATTCGAACGAGCCCATGAAACTCGAAGACCTCGTCGACTTGTACATCGACAACGGCTGTGAGAATTATTCACACGCCGAGCCACAGGCCAATCATGATCAGTTCACCACACAACAACACGTGGGACCCATTGATTCTGAAAGTCAAGAGAACTTTCAAACTTACGAAGAAGAAAACGTGAATTTGAACTTCGATTTCGGTCCAGACAGTGATGGGGTGACTTACATTAGATATGGTGATCTGAACTATGAAGGGGCAGCTGGCGAGTTTATCGGCAGCATTTTTGGCGGCGAGGTGAATTTCTGGTGGCGGTGGGTGGGAGGGACTGCCCGGAGGGAACGGACAAAGAGGAAGTACACAAGGGGGCTCAGAAGGACGAGGAGACTGCTAGTCGTCTGAGGAGAGAATAAAAATGAATGATAGCTGCTAAGGCAAATTTGAAGGGTAACGATTTTTTGTTGGGATAATTATTACTCTAGCATCTTTGAAAAATATTGTTCCAGATAAACATAATTAAGTGCACGACTTCCCTGCGAACACATGAGAAAGCAGACAAAATGGACAAATCCAAGGCATGACACAGGGTATGGGACGATACTGGTTACATAATAACACTATTATCATTCGTAAACCAAAATTATAAATACTCGGTTATTCTGTTCTTCCCATAAACCTGAAAGTTCCTATCGTCGTATACTTTCTCTAGCTACTTGATTTTAAGCAGAATACCTGTCTTTAAGTGGTTTGTCAACAATTCAGGAATACTTTCTTTTTTTATCACACGCTTTGAGGAGTTTGATATAGAATATCTTGTACGTGCGTAGAATATACAAATTACACCGCCTGTAGAAAACATATATTAGAATAGCCATCGTCTTATTTGATATGATACATGAAAACTGTAGGTAAACAAGGCAATAAATCAATCTGGTCCAACAGCTTTCAAATGTGGGCAATCATTCATATGCACTCATCTATGTAAATTAAGAAACAGATGAAAGAAATTGATTAAGTAAAAGAATAGCCTTTGGGAAAACCAGAACAAAACAGGCATTCCATGTTCCATGATTCATTTTCAAACCCTCCAACTTAATAATTCAAGTACATATATGGTTTATAGCTCAAGCAAACATCTCAAACCTTCACAGCACATGACATGACAGGTAAAAAGAAATGTTATGAAGTACAAACAAAAAGATTTTCCATATACAGTGACGAGATATATCATATACCTGCTGTGGAAGAAAAATTCTGTTAGGAAAACCAATATATACTCAAAATGATTGTGCCTTGCCTAGCCAAATGATTTATTCGAGACCTCTTTCAGTTTCTCAGTTACACCTGTTTGGGAATCAATGGCTTGCTTCAAAACTGTAATCTGTACAAGGGTTTCATATTTTCTTGTCTTTCCTTCTTTTACCCCCACGAGCCCATGTTCAGTCTCCACATCAGCACCATCAGAAAATCCAGGGACTGCCCGGCCTTTTTGAGCTCAATGGGAGAATCTTTGGTCAGCCGCTCATTTGCAACAGAAGTGCCGTGTGCGGAGCCTAAGTCGATCACATATATGCTGTATGAAGAAAGAAATAAAATCATTACTAAATCCACCATCGATATTTGATTGGAGATTGCAATTTAATAAAAAATGATCAGTATGAGTCAACTCAATAAGGAGTAGCTGCTCTCTATGAAGATAAATACCGTACATATACATTTTGTATTACAATATTAGCCATTAGGAGACATTTTTCTTCACAAATCACACCTAACTGTCACAAAATACCAAATACATCAAGGGCAATTGAGCAAGTAACTCTGTGCAAACAGATCAACATTGTGTCACATTTAAAAGAGGCAGCATAATTTTTTTGAGTCTTTATATTAAAATCGCCAATTAAGATCAGCACGCATCTTAGATCTGAAGCCAACTACACTCTTACGCTAACACGAAAGTAAACATCCTAACAGCAATTTAGCAACTGACGAAAAAGTTGAAGTCTAACTACAGGAGCATTGAGTTTTGGAGAGCAGAGAGACCATACGAACTGAAAACTTTCTTCACATCCAAATGGAAACACATCAAGTGGTACTCAAAGAGGAAGAACGAGGAGCACTAAAATACTAACAATAATTCATACCTCCCATTTCTGTGCCGAACCACAGCAGCATGCTGTCTTGAGACAGACTAATGATCGAGCAGAAAATCACAAGCATGAAACTGCCTCCCGAAGATATGTCTCTTCTTGTCCAGATTAACCTGATCAATAACCTCCTTTTTCCTTCAAAACCCCAAGATAGTACACACCGGGTTGTGGCTCGATTGCCCAGTCGGGAGGCTGCCCTCCAACCTGAGTCCCTTGCTGAGCTACAACTGCGCTCTGGTGATTTAGGTACTGGTTTTGTGGATAAGAAACTTGTGTTTGTTTAACTGAAACTGCTGCTGGATGGTCTAAAGAGAGATGGCCGCGGGTATTGGCGGTAGGCTTCGAGGTGACCGAATGGTTCTGAAGACTGGGCTTTCCTGAAACGACCAAGACCGAAAATCAGGTAAGTTAAAATGAAAGCAACGCAAACTGCTCAAGCTTCCGGATTTGCTCATAGAACGAAAAATGTGATAGCACCCACCTCACACAGTGACATATTTCCCCTTGCAAACAAAATAAACTTTTGCCCTGAGGGAATTACAATAACAAATGTGGGAATTTAATAATAAGCGTTAGAAAAAGAGGGAGACTGTAAATCAACGACGGAAAAGCTGAGGAAGACGGAGGAGGGGGAGCACGATCGAGTGTGGGCCGAGCTTGAGTTATGTTTGAAACCGTCGATACCAAAGCCCATACAAATGTGCACATGTTGTAAACTAAAGAATAAAAAATAATGTAATTTAGAATTAATGACAAAACTAAATCAAAGTCACAGCAGGAAAAGAAGCATGGGCAAGGTTGCAGATCCACCGTCCGAGGATTTCCAGAGCGAGCCGAAGTCCGCCGCCAACACCCTATCGCCCGCTGGAGTTGTGGCCGGCCACAGTCATATTCCACCGTATTATTTCAGGAAGAGGTTTAGGTTAGCTAGCATAGAGTCCCTTCCCAAAGATTTATTATTGGACGCCTTGGGAATTTCTCGTAGGAAGTTTGGCAGATGAAACCAGAAACTGAGGAGTGGCTCAAGGGATTTAACATTGATTTGGAAGCTGAAAACTGGAGGTTCGATGGAATTTTCAGAGATTGTGAAGAGAAGGTAGGCCAAGGGTTTTGGCTCATTCCGGTTGGTTGGCTGAATTACCCAGATGTTCTCGTCTTTGCTCCTCCCAATACAAATTGCAATTGCACAATGTTTGTACACGTGAGGTCCACTCTGTAGAGTTACAGTATCCCCCTCGATGGAAAATAATTGAAAAAGGATTTTTTTTGCAACNGCCCTAGAACACCACAAATTACATTTATCAATGCTAACCAGAAATGGTCACTTCTTAATTGAAGTCTAAAGGAATGACATTCCCCTCCTCAAAGGAGATATTGGAAAATCACAAAACAATACAGACAAAACACAAACAGAATAAACTAGGGGATTTCATCAACCCTTCTAAAACAACACACATCTATCACAATATCAAGCAGTCCCGGCTTACTTCACACTCGCGATACAATTTTGTTTATTTCTGCCTCTTGTATATCTTGCCTAGGAAGGACTTCAGCACGGCCTGCACGGGTTTTCTAGGAATAGCCTCGATGGAGCTCGTGAGTCTGTCATAGCTCTTAGCTTCGTACTCGGAAAATATGCCCTGTAGATTAAGCTCATGGTAGAGGGCTTTGATTTTCGTAACATCCGCTGGATTTTCCTTTCCGTAGTGCTCCTGGTTAAAGCAAAACATGTCCAGAGTGTTCACACACAGACGCACATCAACTAATCGCAATAACGAAAAATTGGGGAAAGCACAAAAAAGTACAGAGGCTTCTTAGTTCTTACGTAAAGAATTTTCTTTTGTTCTTCATTACAGAGCTCCAGGGCTTTCACAACCAGCCAAGAGCACTTGAAGTCCTCAATATCTGTTCCAATCTGATGATTCACAAAACAAATTCAGAAAATATGCCAATCAAATAAAGAATAGTTTTATATATTTGTAAGCCCGAGGGAGAGCTCAACAACTCACCTTCCCGATCTTTTCAGGTTCACCAAAGCAATCCAAGTAGTCATCCTGAACAGATAAATCAAGTACTAGGAAATGGAATTAACACAAAAAAAAAATCTTATTCATAAGCATCTCAATACCCAAGCTAAGACTCTCTCTCTTTCTCTCTCTCTCTCTCTCTATGCGTGTGTGTGTGTGTGTGTGTGCATTTTTAAAATTTAAACCAAAACAAGTCACAGCTAATGAGGAAAACTGGATATGTTTACTAAAGACTGTGGAAGACGAATACTGGTCATCTCAATACACAGAAGGGATGCACTCAAAAGTTAGAATTAAGTACAAGCATTGTTACTGGTGATTTTGAGACAATGTTAAGGGTTCAGTTCAAACATCGCTATTGGTGATGTCCACGAATTCGAAGGATGCAACAGACAACCTCACCTGTACTTGAAAGTAGACACCCATATCAATCAGCACATCTTTCACATTTACATGATTGTCTAGGTTCTCACCCGCCATCAGCAGAGCACATGCGACCTACAAAAGTACCGAAACAAAGCTGAGAAACTACAATGTGTCATTTACAATGTAAATTAAGCAAAATTACAATAATTCACCACTCACCGGAAGGTAAAATGAGTAGTAAGCAGTTTTATACTGAACGATGCGGCGATGACTGCAGAAAATAAAACCAGAGTCGTAAACATTAAGACTGTCAAAACATAAAAAAAATAAAAAATAAAAAACAACTGTAAAAACTTTATAAAAGGCAATTATGTATACAATTTAGTTGCTGATTATAGCACATCACCATGAGTTTCACAATTAGGGTCAGGTTTATGCAAGGCCAGGACCGAGAATCTAAAATAATGAAGTGGCCATCATTATCAACATGTAGATAAATTATTTCCTGATTCTACAATGTGAATAAAAGCAAATAAAATACCAAATGTCGATTAGATTTTATTTTTATATTTCAGTTCATTTTGAGCATGCTGTACTCACAGTGGCAACGAGTATTTTGACAAATCCTTTTCTCCTTCAATAGTGGTAATTAAATCTATCATCTGTCCCGCTGTAGTTTGAAACTCCACCTAAAGAAAATGACAAATAGAACTCAGGAATTGTAAAATATAAATTATTATACACCACCATAACAGCATAGTTGTATTACCTCATTGAACAAATCTAGCAAATCCACATAATAAGGCTTTTCTCTGAAGTACTTCTTGAGAATTCTAGGGATGTGATTTCGAAGCATAATTCCATCATTTACAGCAATCAACCCAATCTGGAACAAAAGTTCATTTCAGATGAATGTTCCAGTAATGAGAATAATCAGAAAGTATGACGAAAGTTCATAATTAGCACAAACCTTTGGGAGTCTGAACCAGCATGGCTGACCACGTCGTGTGTGAGAATTATCCATAATGTCATCAAGGACTAGAAAATATGCCTGAAGCTGTAGTTCCGATGTATAAATCAAATCCTAACAGAGCAAATGTACAAGGAAACAATTGCCCATGTTTAGACTAAATACATGCTTATAACTAGTAACATACCCATTCAATACACCAGCCAAGAGCACTAGCTAGAAATACTTCGTCCTCTGTTAAGTCTTTTCCTTCTTTAAGTAACTTGTAGCTATCAATAACTGACAGGCCTCGGTTTAACTTCCCTGAAAATAACATTTCATTTTTCACCACAAAATGCTTATTGGTCAATAAATCAAATAAATATTGATCATATAAGGGTGGTGTCTCCAGATCCAGGGATTGCATTTAAGAATTACTATAAATGAAAGACATCTGACCTCCAGGTACATTGTAGTCCAGCATCTGTGACACGTAAAAGAAAGTCAATCAGGAAACACAATGAAGGACCTATGAATATGATCTGTTTCTTAGTCAACACACAAAACTAAATTGCTGGAGTGAACTTATAATTTCCTTAAAACATCTTTTAAGATGTGAATTAAGTGCGTGCTGAATTTGATAGGCTCTGTGCTTTGAGCTCATAAAATAAGATGTTAAGAGTCGTGTAAGTTACAAAAGTTAAGAAGTAACTAAGTAATTTAAAAACAGAAATAACAACATTATCTATTCTCAACCATGTTAGTTAAAAATTATTTATCGACACTGTATAAGATACATAGTTTCACTTCATCTAATCATTCTAAGAAATTATATTCAAATTAGTTAATTAATTCATAACCTTGAATTATGATAAAAGCTCGTAAGATCTTTGCATAAGATTAGCTAAATCAACTCTTAAATCTATTGAGGTCCTGTTATTTCATGATACAAAATATTAGATTTACATCACAGTCATATGGTTGTTGAATGACTAAGTTTAGTTTAGCTTCTCAACAGTTAATTTCACATTTTAGGGAATAAAACATGAAAGAAGAAATGTTGCATTTCTATTTCTAGCAACAGCTACTGTAGAGAATCACATGTCAAGGTGAAAAAAGACCAATTTACATGATTGACAATTGAATCCATGAAACAAACCACTGAAAGTCAAGCATAACGGTGACACCAAGGTCTACACTGTCCTAACTTTTGTCAATGAACAGTCATCAATAATGGCAAAGGCCCTAGAGAAACTAATTGAAAACACATCCAAAAGTCATGAATTGAACTGTAACATTTTTTGAATTTTTCCCTGAAGATGTTAAAATGTAGAGATTTCCACTTGTAAATATAAGGTTGCCATAAATTTTGATGCTTTTAAAATATCTTAAGTTTGGAGTTCATAATTTCTTCAGTATTTACTTCCTTAAAAGAATGAAAGAAAGTTTAGGAGGGAAAAGTTATGCCTATATGTGAACATGAGGCATTTAACATCGAACCAAAAAAATAACACCATAACAAATCATCTGTTTTGAAATTGAGGCATGCACTTGAGTAAGGCATACCAAATTCCCGTGATACAAAAGCATGCAGGGAAATGATAAACAGAAGCTCATAATTATCCACATAAATGAAAAGCATAACAAGAAAATCGTGAGGCGAAGACCTACAACAGTTTAATTAGATTAAGATTTCAAAAAGAGCAACTCAGGGTATCTTATCTGCTGGATTCTTGATGCAATTCGGAAGAAAGTCATTCTACTTAAGGCAACAAAATATGATTTCATTATCCGGAAGAATCAAGTATTCAATCATGGAAAGGATCAATCTTTACAAGTCAGCACTCCTAAAGGTAATTGGTTAAAGCAACTTTACAAACACGGGGCATGCTTAATAAACGTCAACGTTCCAATTCCAACTAAAAGTGCATTATGCTTACTATTTGCAACAGCTAATAAAAATTCATGCCGTAAGTATTTTCTGTACAATATAATTCCAATTCACCATTGGCTGTACAATTATACTTTTTTCATTAAAGTGGAGAACTAACAACTAAAGTCATCAACAGCTGGCGGTTCGTCACCACCTGCTGGTGCAAGAGATGCCCATGTGCTAACACCAAACCCAAAGCTTTCTAATAAAGAAGGAGACATGGAGAAATCAAAGACTGCTGAATTTCTAAACATGTGGATCGTTCAATTAAGAAGCATTTATCATTGTAATTCAGCATCCCACATCCACACACAACAGCAAAATCTCAATTTCAGCAAAAAGCTCAGTAGATTAAAAGAAATTTTAGATTTAACCGTTTATTCAGCAAACAAAATCAATTCCAATCACCAACACAAGCAAACTGTACGCCGCATTGCAATACGAAATAGAGAAAGGGAACCCAAAAAAAAAATGTATGGCCAATTCAGCAAAAAGCTCTGTTGACCAAAAGGACGCATAGATTAACCTTTTATTCATTAAAAGAAAAGAAAAAAAAAAACCCGTTCGCGCACTTCACCCGCGATTCATCCCAATCTCCAACACAATCAATTAAACAAACCATACGTAGCATTGCTATACGAAACAGAAATAATGAACAAAAAAAAGGGGAAAATCAATTAAAAGAATAATCTAACCCGCTCGACCCATTGACGCGAACCTTGGGTCCACTCAAACGCAGGATCATTCAACAGCTCGGATTTGAGCGCAGTGTACACGCCCAGAAAAGTTGCCTTCAGGTCCAACGTCGCTCCGTTCGAATCCGCCATGAATTTCCACACGAGAATTGAGGAAATATATCGACTAAATTGAAAAAAATCTCAGAGAGAAAGGGAGAAAATCATACGAGGAAAATGCTCTGTTTTGCAAACTGCACTTTGTAGTGTGTATGTGTGCGTGTGGATCTCTCGCTGCATTTTGTAGTACTATTTTGACAGGTGTATTTCAACATGGATTTTCCGTTGTATTTTTTTATTGCTAAAATTTAGTGGGGCCCACACGGAGAATAACTTGAGAAAAATTTTAGCAATGGTCAAGATTTGATTTGGGTAAATGTCGAAATTGGGTCTGAGGTCTGGATTCTGTGGCAATGTGGTATCCAGGATTGGGAGAGAAGAGGGGTGTTTTCGGCAATCAGGTATACAAAGGGTGGCTTTGGAAATCTTGGATAATGTAGGGGTGTTTGTTCAGATAAGCTGTCTTCGAGGCCTCTTTGAAAGCGAAAATACTAGGGCACACCTAGCAAGTTGTGCCACAAATGAACATGTTATATTACAAAATGAACATGTGTAAATCATGTTTGCACATGTTCATTTTGTAACATAACATGTTCATTTTAAATTGCCCTGGCACACCTTGCTAGGTGGGCACACGGTTGAGTATAATTTTATTGATGTGACATGTGAGGGCATTTATAATGTATTCTAATCTTCCTTATTTGACATATAAATAAACTGAATTATTAGATGACATGTATAAAATTATGTAAAATTAACAAAATTCATTATAATGCAAAGAAATTAAGTTTATACTTGAGTCTAAAATAGAGTTAAATGAAGTTCAGATCTCTTTTTTAGTCTGCCACGTCAGCAGGACTCAGTCTACTTTTATTGGCATTAGAGAATATATAATTTTGTAGACTGAGTCTATTTTTTAGGTGACATATAATTTTTTGAGATTGACCTCAAAAAATCTATATATGTGGTGAATAGATAACTAAAAATATATGGTGAATGAATCTATTATATAAATGCTCAGAGTAATTAATAAAAATATTTTTAGTTTCTCATAAGAAGACATTACAAAATTTTCATCATTAATTTGATTTTTTTCCTTTTATTTTATTCAACTTTATTTACGTATGTCTATATGTTGTTTCATTTAATAAAAAAGTAAATAATATTTCACATTCAAATTAAGCAGATCTAACTGTTGTTTTATTTAATAAAATCACATATTATATTATGAAATATTATAACCTTTAGATATGTAACTATGATATTTGCTATGATTATTTGTTTTTTCTAGTTTAGATTTTTAAGATAAAAAAATGCATTGGTATTGTTGATCTCACAATTGCAACTCAATTTCTAAAGTGAGCAGCGTAGGCTCTTGACCGATAAGTATTATAACAATTTTAAAATTTTTAGGATAAAACACATTCCTATTGACCTATTTATTTAATTGTTATTAGAACTTTGCTATAATGCGAGTTGGTATATTTTCCGAATGGAAGTTCTTTAAAATCAAAGTCTACCACGTGTGGTATGCCATTTTAAACCAAATTAGGGGCAAGACCATTTGAAAATAATTGAATATAAGAGTGACTTTACCTTAATTTCCGTAAGTGGAATGGTAACTTCAAAACTTGAGGTCAATTATGCCGGCTCATCAGCCTCTTGTTTATTGATCCAATAGTGAAGTAAAATAGATTTCGACTCCCTCTATAATGTTGGGCTTAGTTAAATGTGCAATGCAACACAAATCGAGTTTTCATTGACCCCCTCTTTGTTGGTTGTCCTCAGCACCCTATATCGCGAATCTAGAAATTTTGTTGAGTGTAGGGCAAAATTAGTTTAAGAGTTAACAAGATTTTGAATGAAAATATTATTTTAACAATTTATTCTTTTTATTTGTGAATCATGTTCATTTCAAAATAAACATATAGTGATTGCTAAAAACATAATTATCCTCCAAAATATTTTTTTTCAAAATCAGAAGAAACTTAAAATTTATTGATGAATTGTCATGTATTTTTAAATAATCTTGATAATGATTTTTCATAGGTAATTTAAATGCAATGAATTTATATATTATAAAAAAAGAGTAATAATTATGTTCCTAGATATGAACAATACTAGTAACTAATGGGAACACAATATCAATTTTTAAAATGAATTATATAAATCTCTAATTCTAAATGCAGAGATTCCCAAATCTACCTATTAACTTTGGTGCTTAGTAATCATATGTGTAGATTTTTCACACGTCATAATCCTGTGTGTAAAATTTTGGTGCTTCGGAGTAGTCCATGTGGATTTTAATTTTTATCATGCCTACAAGAACATTTATAAATATATATTTTAAAATTAATAGCAGTTTTATTTGTTATTGGATTTTGACATATGATATATTAAATGAATTATCTTTTGATCTTCGATTTGATATAAATACACATATATAAGAAAAATTATATCCAGATTTATTAATAAAAATTTAATAATCTAATAATATCATAATTGGAAAATAATAAAAATTTAATTTTTAATTAAATTTATAAATCAAGTCTATTATGTAATATAATTCTTGTCATTTCATATATAAATAAAAATATTTTTAAGAAAAATTATAAAAAGTTTGAATAAAACCTTCTTCTTCTTCTTCTTTTTTTTTTTTTATTTTTTTTTATTGTAAGCATAAAATTTTCAATTAACACATGTGTAGTACACATGTGCTATAGCACTACTACTAGATAATATTGTTGAGTTCACAAAGAATAAGACAATAAAAATTACATAAAAAATAAATAATAGAATAACAAGGAAAAGAAAGAAAGAAAGGAATGTACATGCAATGCTAAAAAGATAAATAAGGATTATGAATGAATTGTTTTTGTTAATTTCAATTCGTCCATTGGTATTCAAAGCAACTAAATAATAAATACAATAATTTCACTGGAGTTATTTGGATGGCAAAACCATAAGTTTCCTCTTATAACCAGTGTTCAAGAGGTCGCTAAGCGTTCGACCAGCGTCTAGCGCCTAGATGGGGCCTAGAAATCAAGATTAAATGCTTTATTTTTTTATTTATTTTCACTAACTACAAAATATGTCACAAATTCTGGATCTTACCTAAAGGAATTTGAATATCCTGCTCTGGTTGGAAAGTCTTCTGCTTTAAAATCTTCTTTTGTTTATCAATGTCCTAGAGGAGTGACCCCTATAGTGCCGATCTCTTTGAACAATGTACGCAAACACACTCTTGTACATGATTGATTTTTTTCCCCATCATCTTAGAATTTCCAGCAAGATCATAATCGACCTTGAGAGTATCGAACTCACTCATGAGCAATTTCAGATGCCCACCAAGATGCCTCGATTCCGTAAAAATGGAATCAACTTCAGTTCCCTCCCTCTCGTGTTAGGCAATACATGCAAGCACAATTTCGTGATATTTTATTAATTTTTTTACCTCATATCATAATACTGACATTCCGTCTGCCATCTTAAAAGTTTAGATTTTCCAAATTTTGATACAAGTTTACTATTAAGAAAAGCTTCGACATTAGTATTATCGAATTGTACATTAAGTTTCTTTGCAAGAAAAAAAAACTCACATAGAATGGGGTCCACTTGATTTTTTATTTTTGGTAGGACCCACTTAATGTGAGTGTTATGTACACCTCTATGTACAGTGTTATGTAACTATACCATTTCTCTTTTCAATAAAACAATATACACATAAAGCAGGGGGGTCACAATAGGTATTGATTAATATTCTTAGAGAAATATATTGAAAAATGGGCAAAATAATCACTTAATTATCTCAAAAATTATTTATTTAACTTACCTATAATATATATAAGTTTTGTTTGCAAATAAGTGTGGTAAAATATTAATTAATAATTATTTTTTCTTTTTGTATATCAACTATTTCAAACTGGAATTATTCTGTATAAACACATGCGTGTGAGTATTTTTGCATTTTCCAATCCCTCTTATATATAATTTCAGAATGAGGTGAGCCTAAGTGGTAGCTTCGTACGCTTCGTAATCTTACGTGGCAAAATAATATGCTTTGTAATATGGCTTGGATAAAAATTGCTAATTTTTTATACCAAACAACTAAGGTTCGGATTACCATACATATACACATATTTAATATATTTAAATCATTCTATATAAATCCATTTATTATCTCTATAATTTGCATATAATCTTACTTTCTAAATTTTGTACTTTGTTCATATTATTTACTTATGTGTTTTAAATAAAATATTATAAATAAAATTAATGATGTACAAATTAGTTTTCAGAATTTAAAATAATATTGTGAATTCACTTAGTTATTTATTATAAACTGTTATATATTGTTCTTTATTTATTTTTACCAACTTCAACAAAATATATATATTTTTTTATTTTTTATTTTACATTTAGTAATTTTATCACCCACCCGTGTTGTACACGGGTATTATAATAGTAATTAGTTATTGTGCAATCTTTGCCTATTTTTTGCATTGCCATTCATGTTGTGTTCGATTTTAGCAGTTAGTGGATATTTTGTAATTGCAGAAGTTACGAGAAAAATTGCCATTTAATGAACATACTAGTACGATAATTGTGTACTACACGGATGTTTGATAAAATATTAAATGTACAATAAAAAAGAAAGAAAAAAAATGTTTATATACTTTGTTTAAGTTGAAAAAAATAAATAAGGAACAAAGTATAACAATTTATAATAAGTAACTAAGTGAATTAACAATATGAATTTAAGTTCTGAAAATTAATTTATATACATCATTAGTTTTATTTATAAAATTTTTATGTAAAACACATAAGAGAATAATGTAGACAAAACAAAAAATTTAAAAAGTGAGATAATATGCACATTATAGAAAGAAGATAATAAATATATTTATATGGTATCATTTAAATATATTAAAATGTGTTTTTATGACAATCCAAACCTAAGCATTTGGTATTAAAAAATTATATATAATTTTTATTTGATTCATATTACAAAGCGTAATATTTTGTCATATAAGGTTACGAAGCATGCGAAACTGCCACGTAGACTCAGTGCGTTATGTAATTATATATAAGGGGAATTTTGCAATTTTGCCTAAACTAAAAAGACTTCAAACAAACTAACCTAGAGAAAGAATGTTTGTACACAAACTTTTCATATACACTAATTTTTATCATCACTTTTAAATATTATAATCATCGAAAAATTATGTTTCGACCTTCAATCTTTTGACACAATTCATTATGTAATATGATATGGGATAACCACACTTGGTCAACTGGACCGGAGAAGCAACCAGGCCAAACCGATCTGATCATCGGGTCGAAGGTAGAAAGGGAATTGTTAAAGTTGAAGGCAAAGGATAACAAAAGGTTGAATAGGGATTTCAGAGTGCCAGGTCGAAGATCAAATGGACGAGGAAGCTGGTCGAAAGATCGACTAGATAGACATGACAATAAAGGTCGTAGTCGAAGACAACCCACCGAAGGGTAATAGAGGTCGAGCTAACGATCAGATCACTTAAAGGAGTCTTAAGGGGATTAAATCTCCCACATGGGCAAAAGCCACGTGGCACCACCCAAGTGGTCCACGCCTCATAACCACATCTGACAGTCCGGATGGCTTTGACAACCCTGACAACCGAGGTAGCTCACGTGCTTGTCTTGGGCCCTAAGGTATCTTTTCCCTGTAAAAGGGAATGAGGTATGACTAAAATCACATTACATTCTTTATTATACTTGCCATTTCCGAGAGAGTTTTCCTCTTTGTACTTCATCTTCTACACTTACTTACTTAAGCATCGGAGACTTTTCACCGGAGATCTCCTCCGGTGTGAGAATTCTGCATGTTCGATGACGTTCAACCGACGATCCGTTCGAGTTCCAGGTGTTTCTAAATCATTCCAGCCAGTCGGAGGTCGTTTCGATACCATAATATATTTGTTTTGTTTGATTAATTAAAAATAATAATACAAAAAAACAAAGGACAAACCATATTATTATAAAGAAAAATAATTTTAAATCATGAAAGATGTAAGATCATGCATCATGTTTGCACTTTATTAGTCCCTAAAAATATTATAAAATTTTTGAATGTAGCATCATATGAAATACTTCTTGTCTAAGTTGGTGGGCCTATCGCATATTGGCATCAACACTGGACTCTGGAGTCTGGACAGCAAGTTAGCAACGAAGACAAAAAGGGACTATAGCCATTTGCAAACGCAGCTCAAAAGCGCCAAATATATTCGAATCCGGGTTTGGTATTGAGTAAGTTGTGTTACTTGTGTACATCCACTGTTGTACATCCACTGTCTTCAGTCTTCACCATCTCCGCAACCTTCAATCGCCATATTTCGACACTCAAAGTACCACCTTTTACCGGTGGCGTGATACACCCAGATTGTGCCGTTCTCTGCTTCATCTCGTTCTCAAATTCGCCGCCGGCCTGTCCGACGCAGGATTCCATTTTTCCTCCTCTGTCGACGGCGCTGATGGACGGAGAAATCCCCATATCAACGATCGACAAGGAATTGAGCTGTCCGCGGCTCAATCCAAAGTCCACCGCAGATCTACTCTATTCCGTTGATGCATTTCTCTTCGATTGCGACGGTCTGCTTGCATTAAAGATTTCTTTTAAAACGATTTGTAGATATTTCATCATCTCTGTGTTTATTCCTGGTATTTTCTCCTTATTGTGTTAAATTTTTAGGCGTGATATGGAAAGGAGATGCTCTGATCGATGGAGTCTCGGAAACTCTGGATGCGCTTCGAGCCATGGTAATTGCGTGTTTTAACTTTTAAGGAACAAAATGTTCTTAGCTGCTGTGTGTATGAGTATGTGTTTATAATCTTTGTAGGACAAAAAGTTGGTTTTTGTGACGAATAACTCCACAAAGTCCAGAAGGCAATATGCCGAGAAGTTTCACTCATTGGGCATTTCAGTAACTGAGGTTTTTATCTATCAATTAATATTTCACGGTGATTCCATGTGTAATGTGTTAGCTATTGATCTCTTTTCTTGCTGGTTTTAGGATGAGATATTCTCCTCATCTTTTGCTGCAGCCATGTACTTGAAAGTCAATCACTATCCCAAGGAAAAGAAGGTTTGTCCTTCTATCACTTTTCCTTAGTTCAGTTATCGTTTACCTCACCCGAAAAGGTAACTCCTTGTGTGTTCTGTTAGTGGTTGGTTTAAATTATACGAGCATGATTTTGCACGCCCCATTTGACTGGGGCTATCATCACCCATCGTCAACAGTGTTGAAGTTGTGCAATAATGAGATCGGTCGTAGGTAATTTCTTTAGTAGCTAACACCATCAAGGGAGGTGATAATAACCCTGTTTAAAGGGGGTGTGAAAAATCACACTCAAACTATACTGATTAGTTTCTTGACCAAGCACACTCATGCTTATGCATCTCATATCATGATTATGAATGGTGCTCCTGAATTTCAGATCAGCTATGTTCATATTGTACCCAAAAAAAATTGGAATCATGTAGAATTTAACTTGAAATAACTGAAAGAAATAGGGGCAAGGTACAATTATGTGCAAGATACTTAAGCTAATTTTCCTCTTAACACATCAATTGAATATTATGCCAAATTGTTAGATTTTAACTATGTTTTGTCTTTTAGTCGCTAAAGGCTCACTTTTGTTATACAATGATCAAAATCGACATCTACTAATCTTCATGCATTGTTTTCACAGGTATATGTTATTGGTGAAGAAGGCATATTGGAGGAACTAGAGCTTGCTGGTTTTACTGGTCTGGGCGGTCCTGTACGATAACTATAATTTGTCTAGATCTTTTACATTGGAATCAGTCTATTTGTTCACATCTTGTCCTCTTCTTTGTTGATGGTATTGTCTTAGTTAACCGCATGCTCTAATTATATAGAAAATCATACTGTTCATAATTTGATATTGCGGTCTTCTTTGGAATGGTTTATGTGGCTGAGATACTAAGTTCTTCTTATTAGAATATAAAGCGTTTGGGTAGAGCTAAGTAGGGAAGTCAACTTAGAAGCTTTTAGATGAACTAAAGCTAGCAAATATTCTGTTTGTTTTTAACTTATCCTGGGAATTTATTTAACTGTTATTGGCTATGTTGTAAGTTCTCATATACCTTTCCTTCAGATCGAATTTTGACATACTAGTGAATATATTAATAAAATTCAATTGTTTTGTTCATATTCTTTAGCTCTTATCATGAATCACTTAGTTTCTCTTTTAGATAGTTTGACTTGTCATTTATCCTTCCAACCCGCTCTAGATTTTTCCATTTGGCGAATCAGGTAGTTCTTGTGTCATGGTTATGTTAGGGTAGTTTAATGAGTAATTTCTCTTGCAGGAAGATTGGAAGAGAACTGTCCATTTGAAACCAAACAACCTCTTTGAGCATGACAAACATGTAAACTGAGTTCTTGCTCCACCACTCTGTTGCAGCTTTTTGTTTTTCTTTTCACACTTTTGTGTCTATCTCCTTCTACACTAGGTGGGAGCAGTGGTGGTTGGTCTGGACCAGTATATAAATTTTTACAAGCTACAGTAAGTCCATATGCTTTGCGTTTCACATGACTGCTTATGTTTACTTTATCCCTATAATTGTTCACGCCTAAAAACAAAACTACTACACAATACAAACATGTTACTAGCACATAAAGAAATAAATTGGATTTATCCTTAGCTTTACCCAATCAATCTTGTACTCATATGCATCTGACCTAAAATAGACGATTCATGTCAATCACATGAGATGATGTAATACTTAACTAGTTCAGTTTACTTGATTTTTTCAAAGAAAAGAAAATGCACATTCCATATCATGTGTTGGAGTTTTTATGAACGAGTACAATTTGCATAATTTGTAAGGTATGCAACTCTATGTATACGTGAAAATCCGGGATGCTTATTTATTGCTACAAACCGGGATGCTGTCGGACATCTCACAGATCTACAAGAATGGCCTGGTAATTTAGTTTAAGTTTTGCCTTCAACACCGTGTTAAAATGTTAAGCTGAAGCTTTATTATATTTTCTCGAGTTCAGGTGCAGGGTGTATGGTTTCTGCAATATGTGGCTCAACTCAGAAAGAACCGATTGTAGTTGGAAAACCCTCAACTTTTCTGATGGAATTTTTATTGAAGAAGTAAGCCAATTTGGACCACTCTTCAAAGTGTTCTTGTGTCTGCAGCATTATTTTCACTCATGCCTTGGAAATTTTTGTACTTTACTTCTATTGATTTATGATTTGAAAGGTAAATGCAAAAAATCCTTAAATGAGGTAAAATTTTGTGTGCAGATTCAACATCCCTACTTCTAGGATGTGTATGGTTGGGGATAGATTGGACACTGATATTTTGTTTGGACAAAACGCCGGCTGTCGAACTCTTCTCGTCTTATCAGGTAACACGGGGAGCAGAAAACATAAATAAATGAATGAAATAATGCTACAATTTTTATTTTTTTTTCCTATAAGATCTCTTTCCCCATCCACTCTGATTTTTTTTCTTGTTTTTATGTTTACAGGCGTGACGAATCTTAGAGATCTTGGACACTCATCAAATCACATTCTACCAGAATACTACACTGGCAAGTTGTCAGATGTATTTGGTTTATTCAATGAGTATATGGATACCTTTTAGATGGCACTCGGTAAAACTAAGGATGTAGTGTCAAGTGTTACCTGCAAATAAGGATATGGGACCATTTATGCATCATTGTGAGATTTGCTTATTGTTAAAATGATTCCAGCTGCTCAAATAATTCACTCAGCCATCATCATTCATGTGAGGCTGTCAGCCCATTTTTTATGTAGCTGTATAAATCTTAAATCTGTACTTTTTAGAGGAATTTGCACCCCTTACTTCCTCATATGAAATAAATTATAATTATGCACCCCTTTTACAAATATTTGTATAATTACCTAAACAAGCCTAAATATTTGCTATTATACCTAAACAGTAAAATTAAGTTAATTATATCAAGTAATTAAATACATCAGATAATTAAGGAAACGTTACTGATTTTACGGTTATTTTGAATGCACTCAATATCTTTTCAACAAAAAAACCTCCCACTCCCACCGCCCACGTTCACCGTCGTGCACAGAAGGAAAACTCAGTAACCGAAGATACTCCAATGGCAAAGACAAAAATTGCTCGAGATCCTCGAAAAAAAACGGCGAACGAAGATGATGAAACACCATAGATAAGATCGAGTTCCCGTCTTCGTAAGATCCACGCAAAATCCAAACCCAAACTCGTGCAGAAGAAACTCGTTTTTGAGAGAAATATGAACCCTAAACCTAATCGCAAGCCCACTGGCAACGCAAGAGTGAAGAAGAACATTTCATCCCCTGATTCAGACGACTTCCAGTCCAACGAAGACCGTAGAACTCAAAAATCTGTTCGTCTGCACCGTAAATTAAAAATCCCCAATTCCACTGAAAATGAAAAATCTTCTGACACCGACTTCGAAGATGAAATTCAACCCGAAGACGTCGATAGCGAGGGATTGGAGAGCGACGAAGAATCCCCGGTCGAAAATTTCAAGAAAAGAATCAACAAAAGGCAAAAACAAGAGAAAGATGCAGTTCAGAAGAACAAGAAAAAGAGAAAACCTAACACCGGCGTCCCAAGTGGCATGCAACATGTTCAGAAACAGATAGTGTATAAGGTAAATTTTCTTCTACATTCCATTTTTTTCATTATATTTTCTCATCTGAAAGATTATTAATTTGTTTATTGATTTTGTTTATTCATCATCAACTATATCCTTTTGTCAGTTGAATGTGTGTATGTCAATGAATAAATCGTCATGGTACCTCCAAGATTTTTGGTTGACTAAGCATGTTATGTAGTCCTATGTAGTCCCAGAGTTTAATAATCTTACCCCTGTGCACTAACAGGGGTATATAGGAATTAGATTCGTATGTATATAATAGGTCAATCAAATGACTGTAATTTTCTACTTTTTTTTCAGTGTGAAATGATATAATCACTTGGGTTAATGTGTATATTCCAAGTAAATAACACTGTTGCCCGTTTTCACTCTTCCTATTTGGTTTTGGATATCTGCATCATTTGTTCACATAACTTACAGTATGGTATATTTTTCAGTGGAACTATCCATGTTAATGTGCAAGTACTTATAAATTTTATAGTATAGCTAAGTTACCTGTTCATTTGCAAGTACATATTGTCAGTACTATGGTATTTTTTAAGTTTTTTTTATAGTATAAGCTCATATAATATGTGGTCACATATACCACACATATAAACTGAATATATATCATTTTCTGGTATATCTTTCTTATATTTTCTTCTGTAATACACCACATATATACCATGTTCATTTGAAAATAACACTGTTCTGTAATATACCACAAGTATATTAGTATCCAAGTAAATATCACTGTTGCTCCTTTTCACTCTTCCTAAGTATATGGTCTGGTTTAGGTTCCTTTACATGTCATGATAAGTATCTGGTATAAATATACTATGAATATAACAAATATATAATCTGTCAGGTATGATAAGTATTTGGTATATCTATAAACAGGTATATTACTATGGTATATTAACTCCTTCTATATTAATCAATCAGGTATATTACTCAGTCCCTGTCCCTGTCACTTTTTTTTTAAACAGTATATCTATCTTATATGATAAGTACATATACTCAGGTATATCCATGTTAATGTGTGGTATATTTTATTGCTGTAAGATATTCCTGGAAAAGTACATGTTGTATATATAACAGAAATATACCATACATATAATCAGTACTGTAAGTGGTAACATATTGTAAGTTATGATATGGTCCTATATTATAAGTTACAATCAATACTGTAAGTTGTATCATATTGTATCATTTTTGTAAGTTATAATCATGTATATCAAAATCCATATTGTTTTCTTTTCATTATTTTCAGGAATGGGAACTGCTAATCCCGCACCCCAGGGATATAAACGTGAAGGTGCAAAACAGTAACGATAACAACAAGGAAAAATGCACGATAAGTGACATCAAGAAGATGCTTACCAAGGAGCAATTGGAAGCTTTTAGGATGTCAGCCTTTGGGAAGTTCTTGGATCTCCCACACTGCATTGTACAGAACCAACTCATCAACTATATACTCCTACGCGAGGTTCATCAGAGTAGGACTGATGAAATTTGGTTCGATTTCGGAGGGAAATTCCTCCGATTTGGGATAGAGGAATTTGCTGTCGTGACTGGTTTGAAGTGCACTGGACATAGTAAGAAATTGAATATTCCAAAGATTGCCGGTGGTCTGCACGACAAGTATTTTGATGCTGTGGAGTTAAGCAGGAGTCACATCAGGTGGCAGTTTTTGAAAAAATTGTGGGCGAACGATGAAGATGCAGTGAAATTTGCTAAGTTGCATTTATTAGCAAATTTCCTCATGGGCTCTCAAGATGCTCTTCGCATAGACCGCTGTTTTGTTGACATGATTGACAGTCCTGAATGTGATGATTACTCGTGGGGAACCGCTGTGTTTCAGTTTACCCTACACTACCTGAAGAAATCAATCCAAACCAGAGAGCAGCTGCACATATCGGACAAGGATGATGGAAGCAACTTGTACCGGTGCTATGGTCTGATATTGGCTCTTCAGACATGGTTCTATGAGGTTTGCGACACGGCTGAGGGTGTAGTCGCCACCTACGTGGGTGTAAACAATATCCCGAGGATAATCAAGTGGGAAGTTCGGGAACCCTGTACTCGAAGTTTTGTGCAGAGGACGTTTTCTAATCTTGATCAATCTAAGGTAAAAAATAAAATTTTGTTCTTTATATATTTCTACATCTATCGCACTAACAAATTCTTCTTCTTCTTTATTGTGCACAGTTCAATAACATAGTACCCACCGAAGCTGAGAAACAGACTCTTCTTTTGGACTCATTCTTCAGAAAAAAAAAATGGGTTCACTCGGAAAAAGATTCCGCCAACTGCCGCCACAGCACAACTTACCACTGATGATGATGATGTCATAACCCGGCTCAACACACTTTCTGCCGAAGTCCAGAGTCTGAAGGAAGCCTTCTACGACTTCTCCAAACGGGTTTTTGCAGAATTTGATCTATTCAAAGAAAAATTCCCTGTAAGTTATTTCTTCAGGTTCATTGCTTTTTGTTTTTTTTAGCATATATTTGCTGCATATAACTCTATGTATATATATATATATATATATATATATATATATATATATATAATAATTGCTGCATATATAATTGCTGCATATATTTGAATGTATGGTAAAACATTGATCGTCTCATTTAATATACTTAATTATATGATATGCTGCATGTTCCTGTGCAAGTACATAATGGGCTGCAGGTTCCTGAATGGAAAAAATATTTGGGTAAATATAACTTATAGTACGGTATATTTTCCAGCTACACATCCATGTTAATGTGCAAGTTGTTTCTTGTAAATATTATGGTATAGCTCAGTTACCTGTTCATTTGCAAGTATATATTGTTCCTGTACAAGTATTTTTTAAGTTTTTTTATAATATGTGCTCATATAATATGTGGTCACATATAACACACATATAAACTGAGTAGATATCACTTTCTGGTATATCTATCTTATATTGGGTTCTGTAATATACCACATATATACCATGTACATGTGAAAATATATTTTTAAAATAGTGTATAGTATGTTTTCAGATAATATGTGGTCACATATACCTCACTTAAATTCTGTTTAAGTATGAAATCTATGATGGACAGATAGTTGTTGAACTTAAATTCTGTTATATCTAACTTATATTCTGATTTTTTTTCCAAGTCCATGTCACAGTTCCGGTATAAGTACATATTGTTCCTGTGCAACTGTTTATTTTAAGTATTTTTACAGTATGTGTTCCTGTAATATACCACATATTTACCATGTACTTATATTGGGGTCTGTAATATACCATGTTCCTGTGCAACTATGTGTTTCTGGTATATCTATCGTATATTGGGTTCTGTAATATACCACATATATACCATGTACTTGTGAAAATATATTTTTAAAATCGTGTATAGTATGTTTTCAGATAATATGTGGTCACATATACCTCACTTAAATTCTGTTAAAGTATGAAATCTATGATGGACAGATAGTTGTTGAACTCAAACTCTGTTATATCTAACTTCTATTCTGATATTTTTTCCAAGTCCATGTCACAGTTCCGGTATAAGTACATATTGTTCCTGTGCAACTGTTTTTTTTAAGTATTTTTACAGTATGTGTTCACATAATATCTGGACACATATACCAAATATATAACTGCTTTAAGATGTTCTTTTTTTTTTTTTTATATCTGAACACATTAACATATAATATGTATTATCACGCAATATGTATTGTCATCTCAACACATTAACATTATAACATAGGGTGGTCCCAGTAAAGAGCAACACGTCGGTAAAGGGAAGACAAGTGAAGTTCGTATTGGAAGTGAAATGCCAGATGATAGTACTCACACATCCACCGGAAAAGAGACGGTTTTTGTTTTCTCCGAATATATTTTTTATTGTCTATATCTCATTTCTAATGTTATTATATTACAGATGATAGTAACCATTATATTAACATTATTCAGTAACATTTTTTGTAATGTTCTGTTGTTTATATGTTTGTAGCCATTTCAGATGCCATCTAATGTGAATGTTCAGACAACAAACGAGGTTGAAATTTAATTGTTTTTTCTTTCTACCTATAACATTAATTACATAATTATTATTTCTTTTTCTTCGGGTTACTGCTGTCCTAACATATCTCTTTTAATTGCAGATCCCTGTCAAATCTCCTGTACGAACATTGAGAACCAAAGCAGAAGCACTAATGAAGAGCGCAGCCGACAAAGTAAGCATATCTTCTTTGCAACATCTACTCTTGTATCAGTAAATTTCCGACATTTAATTACTATTATTCTTATACTTTTTATTTTTTTTG